GACATAATAGAATATGAATTTTAATTGTAAAATTAAAATATTTGATATTCTATATCTAATTGAAGTATTTTTGGTATAAAAATAATATTTTAAACTTGAGAGGTCTAATTATTATATGTTTTAAATTTTAGGAGACTGAATGTAATTTATTAACTGATGACATTTAACGACAATATTCTATGTGTTACGCGCGTACAAATCTTAGGAGATTTGTGTGTAATATTTTGAATATCAGGGGGTCTAGTATGACGCTCTCATGTTTGTGTGTGTAATTTTTTGTTTCAATTATTGTGAAGTCGTACATTTCATCTGGTACAACCTAAAGATCACATAGAACAGGAGAAGCGCGAGAACGAGAGTGTAAAAACATAAAAATTCAAAAAAATCTTAGAGCGGGTGCACCTTGAGAGCGTCATACTATACACACGCAAACATGTTTACGTATATAAAATTTTAAAAAAAATAAATTTTTGAAACAAATATATACTCAATTATTTAAGTTTATTACTAATGATTTGGCTGTTAAATCTCACATGGAAACAATTTAGTGAATAATGCAACAAGGAACCTTTTTTTATGCCTTCCACACCTATCTCACATCGGAAAGATGTGAGAAAGTAGCAATGCTTATAAAAGGGTTAGTTGGGGGATTCTCTTTAGTCATCCTTAATTGACTTTTTGTGTGGCCTTAGTTGGAAGTGAATAAAGGCAATCACCTAAAGTTGCACCTTTAGATGTGACAGAGCATAAATTAATCACGTGTGAAACTTTTAATTCTTAATGTTGTGGAGTACAAATTTTAAATTTGCAATTTTAGTAGAGTGGATTTGCGAATTTATGACCGACTCGATCTTAAGTCATTAATGCACATGCCAAACGGTAGATATGTATAATTTAGGACGGATTAGGTGGCTTCAGTTACAACTAGTCAACATACCACTCTGCTTTATGCTTAGTCTCCAGGCGAAATCGGTATACTTTGATTTAGACCTTATACATAACAATATGACCACAATGAATGAAAATGTATGCATATAAGCATGTTTGATTTTATTATTTTTCCCTCCAACTCAGCTTCAAGTTAACCCCAACCCAATTGCTCAAATCAATTGAAAACAAGCTTCTATGGCTAATATATTAACATGAAATATAATTTATTAAGAATTAGACTTCCCAAACTTTCTAACAACTGGTCATAGCTCAAAACCATATCTCATAGAACATATTTTGATTATTTTCTGACAGGGTATTAAATCTACAACCATAAGCATTAGTCTTTATTTTGTAGCTATATTTAAACTACAAATTGTATGTCTATAGACATAATCTTCTATTCTACCATATACTTACCAGAAAGATCTATGAATCTAGTTTCCAACGCAACTAACGATGCACCAATCCAAGTTTCCTAGAAAGAGTTACGCCTGTTTTTCTACCGGATGTAAAAGTTGTCCAATAACACTTCATACCCGATTTTTTTAAATATATTTTTATTTGATCTAAGCTAATCTAATACATTTCATACATCAACCATATCATAGTATACTCAGTAAACTTTCATGCTTTAATTCATTACCCCAGTGGCTAAACTCTAAACATACAGATTTAAACTAGTAAATCTTAATTTTCACAAAAATTCCATATTCTTAACAGCTTTTAAGAAGAAATACTACATTTCCAACTAAAATAAATTAAATGAACAAAACTAACTTCAATTGAAAGAAATTAAATTGGTAGATATGAAATTTTGCTAAAATTTGATAAGAATCAAAATTAATTTTCGCTATCAAATTTGTACCTGAAAGTCACAGTTTCTTCCCATCTTTTTTTCTTCTTCTTCTCCTCTTACTTGTATCCCCACTCCCCGATATACACCTATTGACTTTATTCTTTTCTTTCTCTCTTTTTTTTTTCCTTTTATTAATAGAGTTTTTATTAATCATAATTTACTACCTTAAAACTTTTTAAAATAATTTACTTTCACAATTATTTATGAATGAATGCAATGCAATGCATAAACGGTTTCACACTTTTTTCTCACGTAATATTTTTCTCTCACACATGAGTGGAGAGAATTGGGTCAAAATTTGAAAGGACAAGCCTTACTTACTCTGACTAAATATCTAATTATTATGGTAGTGCCATAGCATTTTGATACAAAAAAATTGACGTGAACATTTGGTACATATGACTTTATTATTTCAAAATATGACTGAAAATTGTCGGGAATGGTTCAACTAAATTTCTCTTTTAATTATTGGGCTAAATTGTACTTTATACCTTAAAAAATTTTAAAATTTTCACTTTATACTTTAATAGATCAAATTTTTTCACATTGCATCTTTAAGTATTAAAAGTGTTATAATTTGACTAGTTTTCTGTTAGTTTTTTCGTCAGTGTCAATGCATTGACTTTTGATAAAAAAAAATAACACAAACTAGCAGAAGGGTCATATTGCAACATTTTTAATACTTGAAGGTATAATATATAAAAATTTTTCTTTGAGGGTATAAAACGGGATATTTAAAATATTTTAATATTTAAAGTGCAAAAAACCCTAACTAATTTAATACAATTATAACAATTAGGAATGACAAACCAATTAGATTTTGGTCAAAACACGGAAAGAAAGCTCTTGATGGAGGCACACGAGTATTGTTTTCGAGGGTGATATTGCACCTTTATCAGTCTTAGCAATTATTTTGAATTATATAATTTGTAATTATCCGTGGCAGGTATATATTTGCACAACAAGTTGCCCAATCTCATAATCCATTTTCTTTTGGGAGAATTTCCTTCGACTATTCATGTCAAATAACTAATATTGTAGAGTTGAAGGAGAATATTCAAATGTATGTCTTATTGTTTTTAATAATCCATAATTATAACAATGAAATAATAATAGTATTGTTTTTCTAGCCAAGTGATTAATGATTAATTACAAATATATGTAATATATTTTCTTTATAAAGGACTAGAAATCCCTTTTTTTCCATTAACATAAAAACGACAAATTATAAATTCCCCCCTATGGTTTGACCTTTTCGCACATTACCTACTAATAGTTTTAAAACTTATCAATAACCCCCCCCCCCCAATTGTTTTAGATCTAGTTGAAAACTTTAGTTTTGCCATCCCACTTGAGGAAAAGTGGCGGACACGCACATTAACTGAAGATGGGAAGAGTTTCAACCAAAAAAAAAGCATGGCAATACCCACAAATACCCCTTTGTACACAATAAAAACTCACTTGTTCCATTCCATTCACTTTTACTTCACCTATTCAGTCGTCGTGCTTCACATTAGGAAGGGAGAAAGCAAGGCTTGAAGGCTGTGGGTTGATACATTATGCAACCCTTTTATTTTATTTTATATTATATATATCATTTTACCTTTTTAAATAATATCAATTTTATATTATTTTTATATGATGGTAAGGAAATTGATCTGAATCAAGAAATTGTTTTGCACTGAGGAACAAATTGAGCAAGACTTCATATCTACTGACATCCATCTAGTAGAGACAATTGAATTCAAGCTGAGGTTGCACCTACTTGAAGAGAAGACATATCATTTCTGAAATTGTTGAGTTTGGCCACAATTGTGTATTATATTATTGTGACAAACTCTGTCAGACATTTCATCTCCCTCTCTGTCTCTCTCTAATACCTCAGATCTTACTTTAGCTCACCCTTGTTGAAATAGACGACTGTGGTGACCTAATCGTTAGGTGGGAAGACCTTTGGGTAAGTGAGAGAAATAAGGTTAATTTATTTTATCGTTAATGGAGTAGAGGGTTTTCAACTAGGTTCAAAATGATGAGGGATTATCTGTAAATTTTAAAATCATATGCTGGTGATTTGACAAAAAAATTAAACTATGGGGGTTGCCCAAATAAAAAAGACCACTAGAAGAATCAATTCAGCACCTAATTGATGGNGACATCCATCTAGTAGAGACAATTGAATTCAAGCTGAGGTTGCACCTACTTGAAGAGAAGACATCATTTCTGAAATTGTTGAGTTTGGCCACAATTGTGTATTATATTATTGTGACAAACTCTGTCAGACATTTCAAAATGATGAGGGATTATCTGTAAATTTTAAAATCATATGCTGGTGATTTGACAAAAAAATTAAACTATTGGGGTTGCCCAAATAAAAAAGACCACTAGAAGAATCAATTCAGCACCTAATTGATGGAACAGGGGGTCGAAGTCGAACCCTGTACGTGAAATCAATAGGGTCGAAGTCTCAAGACACACGCGTACACCAGGCGCACACACGCCCAGACTCCACCACAGATAGGATAGCCGTGTGCTTTGTTTTCTCTCTCCCTTTCTCTCTCTCTCTCTCTCTCGTAAGTACGCAGTCAATTCATATCTCGATTCTCAACTTTAATTCCATCAGTTCTCAGTTCAAATAACTCTCTCTCTCTTGATTTTTTGTTGTATTTTTTAAAACGTATATGAAGTAAAGCTTGAATAGGTGAATAAAGTTGAGTAGAAAGATTTCGACTCAGTTTTTTTTTTCNACGTACACCAGGCGCACACACGCCCAGACTCCACCACAGATAGGATAACCGTGTGCTTTGTTTTCTCTCTTCCTCTCTCTCTCTCTCTCTCTCTCTCGTAAGTACGCAGTCAATTCATATCTCGATTCTCAACTTTAATTCCATCATTTCTCAGTTCAAATAACTCTCTCTCTTGATTTTTTGTTGTATTTTTTAAAACGTATATGAAGTAAGCTTGAATAGGTGAATAAAGTTGAGTAGAAAGATTTCGACTCAGTTTTTTTTTTCTTATATTTTCTTGGTAACCAAACAGAGGAATTACGATTCCGAAACGTCTGATAAAATTTGGGTTTTCTTTTTCAGGTGAAAATTTGTCGAAGCGATGCCGGACACACATGCCCTCGTGAATGAATTCGTAATTAAGCTTAAAAAACGGNGACGTCTGATAAAATTTGGGTTTCTTTTTCAGGTGAAAATTTGTTGAAGCGATGCCGGACACACATGCCCTCGTGAATGAATTCGTAATTAAGCTTAAAAAACGGTGAGTTCTTCGACTTGGTTCATTGGAATTATGTAATTAGTATGTAAAGGCTTTGATTTAGATACCTGTTCACTTAATCATTGTTTGTGTGTGGCAGTAAAGTAGAGGGCTCGAAGGCCACGGCGAAGCTTACTGCGGAATTGCTTCGGTCGGTGATTTCACAGCAGCGGATACCTCACACGAATCAGGCCGTCGCTCTTATTGATGCTATAAAGTCTGTTGGAGAGCAGCTGATTGCTGCTAATCCTGTGGGTATGCGATTTCTTCTTTTTTTTTGGTTAGAGAGGAACCGATTTGTTCGTGCTATAACATACTAAATGGGTCTCACTTTGTGAAACCACAAAAAGTATTGGTTGCTTTAGGTAAATATTATGTAGCAATGCAGGGCTTAAAGACCAGAGTATGCTATATTCGATATAGTTGCTTTATAATGTTCAGATTCTTGATAGTATTGGAAATGTCTGAAAATTTGTGTATATGCGNGTAGCAATGCAGGGCTTAAAGACCAGAGTATGCTATATTCGATATAGTTGCTTTATAATGTTCAGATTCTTGATAGTATTGGAAATATCTGAAAATTTGTGTATATGCTTATATTATTAGAAAGAGTTTTGGCAATTTCGAGGGAAAATGAAATTAGTTTATTTGTTTTTTCTTGTTTAGTTAGTTACTAAAATTTACCAATGTTTTGGTAGAGTTCTCATATTATCACTACCTTTCTGTATTCATGCTTTGATTTATGTCCAAGAGAAATTAAGTTTCACACTNAATGTTTCAATTTGAGTGAAGATTTCTTGTTGTTTTAGCGTTATAGGGTTTTTGAAGATAGAGGAGGTTTATGTTTTTAGTATTGTTGCCTTCATTAGATGTAATTGATGGCTAGAAAATTTCTGGAATTTCTGGACAATGATACAGATAACTTGAAAGAGTAGGCTCCAATAAACTTCCTAAGCAGCTAGGAAAAACTATCTGAAAAGGTAGACCAATTAATGGGTCAACTCAATTGGACAGAAATCTATGTTTACATTTACAATGGTTTGTAGATATTGTTGCATACGATAGATGTTTTTGATGGCTAGAAATAGAAGTCATCCAAAAAATAGAATGATGAAATTTCTAGGGAACAATAAAGTGAAGTTGGATGAATGTCATCAAGAAAATAATTTGATGGAATCTCTGCACAACAATATATTGAGCTTGAAAGAGTAGGCTCCAATGAATTTCCTAGGCAATCATAATTCCATCTCCAGACCAATTTAAATATAAACCAAATAAGATGCGAGATAATGGAGAACAAAAAGTTTATTAGTGAATTAGTAGCAAATTTAGAGGGAAATCCACTTTGAGTTTTACTTAAGCAAGGGACTTCATCGAAAAGAAACGTCAAAAACTTGAAACCTTAAAACAACCGAAATTTTGTGATGTGATATTTCTTAACAAATAAGTTGGTTGATTGTAAATTTTTTTTTTTTTAAAAGGTTTGGCAAGAATGACAATTAGTAACCCTGTAAGCAAATAAACAATAAGCATATACCACTTACATTTGGGAAACAATTAAAGTGTGCATTACAAATTGAAACTGAAAAAATGTAAAAAATTAATGACTTCTGGAACTTGTAGGAGCATGGACACGTTCTATGGTCTGAAGAAGTCTTCATTGGTTGGAGATACCATGCTTGAATTTAGGCCTTTTGATATGTCTACTTCTATTATGGGAAAAATACTGCAGGAGTTTGGCTGTGAACTCACCTTTATTTGTGAATCAGGACCACATCTTTCTTTTGGAAGGCACGTTTTACATTAGTGAACATGGTGATTAGTTCTTGTGAACATGAGAAAGTGGATTTAAATCGAGGAAGCACCAATATAAATATGGGATGTGATTTTGATACGATACGTCAAAACCTAAAAAACTAAAATAAGGTATGTTGAGAATATGTCTACAATAAAATAGAAATATCTGATGAGTTAATAATTATGATTATAATGTTTTAATAAGAAATCAAAACATGAGTGATTTTTACTTTCAAAGAAGCATGGATTGTTTTATCATGGCATACTCATGAATTGAACGTGATTAATTCAAGGAAATAGAGTAGCATTTAACAAGTTGGTTTGCTTAGAAGTACTTCTTACCAAGAGATAGGGTCTAGTGACATGAGAAACACGCACATGTCTTCATAGTCGTACAAATTTTCTTTTATGTGTATAATTGTATGTGAATTTGAGATGAAAAAATAATGATAAGAATTCAAAGTTATAGAAGCGTACGCGGATATGTTAGTGCATATCCAATACATGTTTTCGAGTATTTGATGATACGATATCCGATATGGCTTTGTCGACATAAATGGAATATCTGTACTTCACAGCTTGCCCATCATTGTTTTTTGATTGACATTGAGAGCCCTTTACTTTGATGTCCAATTGTTTATGATATTAATACAAACCTCGTAGCTGTGGGAACAACTACAATTCTAAAAATATTGGTTTCAATTACTTTATATTACATCTTTGAGATACTACTTTCTTATTTTTTATCGTGTTCCATGATGTTGCGTGATTACATAGGCTTTAAAATGTTGTGGTTTTTTGTTTTTCTAACAAGTTTATAATGTAGCAATGCTTTCATGTTGACAACTATTATGGTTTCGGGGAATTAGCAACTATGTGGGAAAGAGTTTATTAATGTGCAACTTATTCAATAAGATGCCTTTTTTTTAAACTCTCTCATTTGATTGGGAGAAATGAACATGGTGATAATGATCTTCTGGTATCGTTATATGAGAAATGCTATTTAGGCTTAAAATGTTGACTTGATCAATCATAGCAATTGAATCGATAATGGGTCTCAATAAAGGCTGGGATCCAGTGATCGATAAAGTCATCAAATTATATCAATATTTTAAGTCCGAAATGACATTGCTCGTCGCTATATATCTTATGAAAAATAGGTTTTCTTTTAACAAGTATAAATCTTGTCAAAAATGATATGCGAGGTATTTATCCATAGTGGGAGGAGTACTAACAAGGATCAAGTAGGGAATTCAACTGAACAAAAAGCTTTCATGTTTGTGGAATTGATTTGTAACTCACCAAACTTAAGAGTAAGTGGCCCTTGTTGTGAACCCCAATTAAATTTGAATGTTTAGATAAGCATAGGTGTTATGCTAGATGGAGTCAGAGATCTTTTGCAGTGCTTGGGGAGGTGCTAGTAGAAGATCTAGCAAGTAGGTATGATAATTGAGCTGAGCCCAACGAGCTTGAATGTGGTCAGGCTCGGCTCGGGTGTTTGTGGAGATGGTTAGATTTGGCTCTGGCTCGAACCTCAAGCCCTATTTTTTGCTCAAGCTCAGCTCAAGTGAAAAATGTCATGCGCTGGCTCGCTTAAGCTTAGACTCGAGCTCATTTTCTAATTCTTAACAGAAAAATTATTCAATATATACTCTGTGATTCTGTCACCATCAAAACAAATAATATCAGAAAACAAACAAACAAATAATGTTCCAAATCCAATAAATAGTAATTAAACAAAGAAACTACTTTAGCAGTAACGTCATTCCATTCCTTTAATGTCTTCTTCTTGGATTTCGTTTGTAGTGGTCCCTTGTTAGTTGGCTCTTCAAGGATTTCAAATGTTAGGCTTTCTTAGAGAGAGACGGAGACAAAGTGACTGCTGCAAAGGTTCAAGGGTTTATGCGGACTGGTGGAGTAGGATTGTGGGAGGAGGCGACGGGTGGGAGAGAGAAAGAGAGGGAAGACGGCGACAGTTTTGGTGGTGAGGAGTCAAACTGTCTGTGACTATTCTTTGGAGAGGAATTAGGGATTAGGAGAAAAGGGGCCGACTACAAAATGGGGAAAAGGGGATTAAGTTTGAAAAATGAGGCCGGCCAATGGGGGGAATTTGGACAGATTTTTTGGGGGAAAAGGGAATTAAAAAATGGGAAGCATTAAAATATAAGGGAGGAGTCTTCTAGAAGGAGTATATTTAGGGAAAAAATATGATACCTGCTCAAGCTCGTGGATAGCTTGGGCTCAGCTCAATTTAAAAACGAGCCTAAAAATCTGTAAAGATTCGGCTTGTTTTATAAAATGAATGAGCCCTAGCGAGCCAAGCCTGAGCTACCCAGATCGTTTAACAGCCCTACTAGTAGCAAGCCATGAAAGGCAGCCCCCTTTGTCTTGAGTAGTGGATTGGGGGGAAATAGACCTGGCTTCAGAATTTGAATTGCCTATAATAGGTTTAAAATAGTTGTGCTTATATCTTTTAAATTTTGCTTATGCTCCAAATACCTCATTGCTGCATGGCTTACAACTCACGACAGCCTTGATGCTTTTAAAATAAAAGTTGCACTCTATTTTCAATGAAGAATATTTTTCTTGTCATTTATCTATTCTGCCTGAATATGAAATGTTTCATTCAGTTATCCCTTGTCAAAACTCTTTGAAGAAAGAATCAAAGATCATATGTTGTATGAAGAACGTATGGATAGTGCATTCAACTATTGAAATTTTAATGGACTTATGTTTGTTTAACTGATGTTTCACCTAGCAATACAATTTATTTGTGCATTTATGTGCTTTTCTTTCTGTGGGCTGTTTGAGACTTATCTGTCATGTTTCTTTGGCTATGTTGTATGAAATGGATTGCAGAGCTTGCTGTTGGTAATATTGTGCGGCGTGTTTTACATATCATTAGAGAGGAGGATCTTTCTCTCACAACAGCTGCTATTGGTGGGTTGAGTTTGTCTGCTGTAAGTGATGATGAAGATGATGTTGAGCAAGATGGTCACCCAGTTTTATCAGCTGCTGCGGTTGCTGCTGCTGCTAGAAGCACTTTGAGACCACCATCGTTGCAGACCCTTCTGGAGGATTTGCCTCACTCTGCAGCTGCTCCTCCTACATCTTCTTCTGGTGGTGATTCTGATGGGAAAAGCAAATGTAAGCGATCTTTCAGTAGCCTCTAATATTGGTTCATCGACAATGTATATTGCTGTAAAGGTTTATAATCGGTATCTTTTTCAGATAAGTATTTCTAACAGTGGTTGGACAGTTGACTTCAAACTAATTGTCACTTGTTGTTTGGTCTAGTGTAGAATTGCAAATAGCAATGAAACTTGGATATCAAGTTAAAGTTAACTGTTGTATGAGTTCATATTTTGGATCTTTTTTCTAACAGCTGCTGATAAAAGCTCAAGGAGTCGGAAGCTAAAGCATAATGTCATTGAGGCAGTTAATGAACTTATTCAAGACATTGCCACTTGCCATGAACAGATTGCTGAGCAAGCAGTGGAACATATTCATCAGAAGTACATTTACCATAAATTTTGAGTAGAATTTCTCTTTCGATGAGTTGATTATCTGATTTGGAGCATGTTGCCAGGAACATTATATGCTGGCACATTAGTTTACCATGATGCATGCAAATTTTGTATATGATAAGTCTTAAGTTGTTTTGGTAAGGTAGTGTGGACTGAGCTATACGTGCACTGATATGAGTTTCATATGCGTACACTACTTTAGTTTGAAGCGTTCATGTTCATGCAAGTAAGTTTGGTATTGCCTGTCAATTCTTTTGAGATGATTTATTATTTTTGATAAGTCCCTTTTACAGTATGTGTTATGCCTTTTTCTGTGGTTTATTCTTTGTGGTGATTTGCTAATGTTCTAAATTAGTTTAAATCATTTGACCTTTCTTAAAATTGTTAGTTTTATGTAAGTGTAATTTTTGAGGTCCTTATTAACATACCCCACATATTCAAGTTTTTTCAAATTCACTTGTTTTGATGTTAAGCAACTCGTTGAGATATAAAAGGTGGCAAAGATTGTTTCCTTTAACACTGAAAGTTTTTGAACAGGAGGTCCATGTTGCTGTCATGAAGAGATTCATTAATGAGATGAAAGAGTTAACTTTGACTTTGCAGTTTTCCAGCATGTTGAGATACAATTTTGAAGAATTTGTTCCAGGTTGTTGAAGGCAATTGAATTGAAATCTTCTAATCAATCAATTAGGAAAGTATATACTAGGCAAGGATCAAAATTTTGTTTTGGTGCACTATTTCGGTCATCTAAGAAACGAAAACATTTCGACGTGTTTCGGAAACATTTCGATCCGATTCGAAAATAGAATGAAAAAAATAAAAAATTTAAAAATTATTTTTTCAAAACATTAGTCGCAATATACCAAAATATCTTGAAATACTTTGAAATATTCTGAAATAATTGTGCAAATGCATTAAAATATAACAAAACATTTCGAAATATTATGCAACACCTCGAAGTATTAAAATTTCGATTCCATCACTGATACGTTTCGGTCTCCTTATAAATGGAAATGTTTCGGATGATTCGACCGTTTCGAAATGATATTTTGATCATTGATGCTAGTTGAGCATACTGGTATTATATTTGTTTGGGAAAGTTTTTATGATAGCCCGTCTGATATATTATGTTTCATATCGTCATATTGTGTGTGGATGAACCAAAGTTGATTTTCTGCACGTGGCCAACAATACCGATTTTGTGGGAGAGCTATGGACAATGTTCAAAATACATTGTACTTTAGCTGGGAGGAGAAATGTCGTGTGGCTGGTTCGAGGGTTTTTGAGGTGGATTTTATTTTGGGTTTGAGAGAAAATCATTAGTGTTTCAAATCCAATGTTATACTTTTTGTGACCTATAGTTGAAGGTGTGCAGGATGTGATGGTGCTTGAGTCCTTATGTAAATGTTTAAATTCTTCTTTTTTTTTTTTTTGGTTTGTGGGGGGGGGGGGGATTACATTTTGCTTCTTTTAGATTTGGGTTCTTTTTTGGCTTTTGTATGCCGTGTATGTATATGGGCTGTCCTTAGCTAATTGTAGTGAGCAGTGAGTATTCACTAGGGAAATTTCAAATCATTTGCTAGTAAGTTGTTGGAGGTTCTATTGTCATAGATTCAGTGGTTAGCCTGTCAGATCTCGGACTCATGCCAAAAGTGCCTCAGTTACTTTGTAATCTTTTCTTTTTCCCCTTTAGATTGCATTGCAGGTTTCTCATTGTTCTTTTTTCTTTCTCCTTCATTAGTGTATCTTGTTTCCTCTACTTTTTCCACCTACTGTTGGTCGGTGAATTTTGTTTGTTTTGCTGCTTCCTTGAAAGACAATATAAATGTGGCTATATATCTGTTGAATTGTTATGAGTTTCAAATTTTTATTGAGATGAATCTAGTTATTGAAGTGTCCACTGGTTGCTTTTACTTCTTAGTGAGAAAAAAACCTAGAATTGAGATTGCTTATGCTAGTCCATTGTTATATAAGGAACACAACTTCTGGGTGGTAGGTTTATCGTATGTATTTGCAAAGTTGTAGCTACTCCTTGGACCATTGGATCTGTTGTTGTGTGCTTAGCTTCAACTTATTGTCCAAACACGATCAGAGGGCCAAGCTGNCATGCCAAAAGTGCCTCAGTTACTTTGTAATCTTTTCTTTTTCCCCTTTAGATTGCATTGCAGGTTTCTCATTGTTCTTTTTTCTTTCTCCTTCATTAGTGTATCTTGTTTCCTCTACTTTTTCCACCTACTGTTGGTCGGTGAATTTTGTTTGTTTTGCTGCTTCCTTGAAAGACAATATAAATGTGGCTATATATCTGTTGAATTGTTATGAGTTTCAAATTTTTATTGAGATGAATCTAGTTATTGAAGTGTCCACTGGTTGCTTTTACTTCTTAGTGAGAAAAAAACCTAGAATTGAGATTGCTTATGCTAGTCCATTGTTATATAAGGAACACAACTTCTGGGTGGTAGGTTTATCGTATGTATTTGCAAAGTTGTAGCTACTCCTTGGACCATTGGATATGTTGTTGTGTGCTTAGCTTCAACTTATTGTCCAAACACGATCAGAGGGCCAAGCTGCCATTTGACTGCTTTTTCAGCTGCATTTATGTGGTACTATGCATTTGAAATTTAATGGTACTTTCCTTTAGCCCTTGAAATCCGGGGATGCATTGGTACGAGCCTATAGAGAAAAAATTCAGCAGCCTTTATGTGATATTATGCATTTGAAATTTAGTGGTTCTTAACCCTTGAAACCCAAGGATGCATTGGCACGAACCAGCAGAATTTTTTTTTTTTAAAAAAAAAAAAAAGGTGCTTCTTTGTACCCTGGGGAAAGCTAAATGTATAGTTTGTTTAACATACATAACGGTTCAGCTACTCTGTGTTGAAATAAAGCTTAATCCATGACTTGTTTGAATTTATCTTGCATCAACTGATTTGATATCTGATATTAGGGTCTTCATGAAAGATCTGTTTTCTATGACCAATAAATAAAAAGAAAGATCTGTTTGCAGATTAAATTTTTTTTGTTTGTTTGATAAAGCTGTTTGCTGCTTTAATCAGTATACGGTCCATACAACACATTGTGTTCCCCCAAAGAAGCATAGCCTGCTCCTCTTCCCCTTTTATTGAGCCTATTCAATTTATATGTGATTTTTATATGCTAAATATCATTTATGCCTAGTTAACTTATCATTTTTCCTTTTCTAGTGAGGTAATACTCACTTTGGGCAGTTCGATAACAGTAATAGAATTTCTTTGTGCCGCAAAGGAGAAAAAGAGATCATTCCGTGTGTTTGTTGCGGAGGGTGCTCCAAGGTTGTATGAGGGTCTAATCCTATTTTGCAAGCAAAGGACTTTTTAACTTGTATGATATCTTTTCCTTTGAGCTCCTTTGTGACTGTATTTATTTTGTTGTTATTTTGATATCAATAGATATCAGGGGCATGTTCTAGCAAAAGAATTGGTTGCAAGAGGACTGCAAACCACAGTAATTACTGATTCTGCAGTTTTTGCCATGATTTCTCGTGTGAACATGGTATGTGGCCACCCTAGCTCTTCTTTTTCCCCTTGGCAATGGATTATCTGCTTTATTTTGGCGTCATTCTGAAATATGCTAATTAAAGGTTATAGTTGGAGCCCATGCTGTCATGGCCAATGGTGGAATTATAGCACCTGTTGGGTTGAATATGGTTGCACTAGCGGCTCAAAGGCATGCTGTCCCTTTTGTTGTGCTTGCTGGCATTCACAAGGTATTAATATTCTTCTACAGAAAGGAAGCAAATCAACTCTGGCTAACTATGGTTTTGTAACTGATGAATTTTTGTGGATTGTTTATGCCATAGAGTAGAATGAAAACGTTATGTTAATCATTATCTATTGCTTAAAAAAAGATAAAGAGGAGCCTTTCTTATAGAGTTTGATACCCACATCGATGATTAGGACCACCCAAGTTGGTTTACATGATTGAAGGACCTCTTTACCCATTGCTAACCAGTTTTGAGTTGCTCTAACATGGAATCTGATCTAGGCTTTGGGTGTTTAGTAGGCCAACTGTCTCATCCATTTGCATTTCCCAGTAGGTATGTTTATTTGTTAGCCGTCTGGTTCCTAAGGGTGGTGAAAGAGAGCTTATATCCCACCCAAGATTTTTTTATAGCCAGCAACTCTATTTACTCATCGAAGTCTAATGTCTCACAATTACGCCGCCTCAAATCACACACACTATGGTGTCTACCTGTCCTCTTTTCTGGAATGGATGTCTTATGTCTTCTTTATTTGTATGGATCAACAACTTGATTAACATTTTGTTTTGGCTCCTAATCTGAACCAGTTAGTCAATAGTGTCTACCTGTCTTCCTTTCTTTTGTCTGTTACAACTGTCATTGCAAGATTGTAATCCACATCTTTGTTTTTCCAACTCGCTTAGATATGTGTTTCTATTGTACATCTATTATAGTATCCACTCATAAAGGTGAGCATGTGTTTTTAAAATGTTAGACTGAATAACATGATACCTTCCTTCAGGCCCCATCTTCAGGGCTAAACTCAAAACAAGTAGTATTCCTTAGTAGCATGCCACATATTTCATGCTTTGAATTTTNGAACATGATGCCTTCCTTCAGGCCCCATCTTCAGGGCTAAACTCAAAACAAATAGTATTCCTTAGTAGCATGCCACATATTTCATGCTTTGAATTTTGTTTGGAGAGCANTAACATGATACCTTCCTTCAGGCCCCATCTTCAGGGCTAAACTCAAAACAAGTAGTATTCCTTAGTAGCATGCCACATATTTCATGCTTTGAATTTTGTTTGGAGAGCAGTTTAAAATTGTGTTTCATATAGTCCTATCTCTTTATTTTAAAGCTAATTCTCACCTCCGAGTTGGCCCCTTTGATCAATCTGCATGGACAGGAAAAAAAAAAAAAGAAATTACTTGGATGTATGTTAACAAAAATATATCAGCTCATGGCAATTTCGTGATGCTTGGTTGCCAGTTTCATGGTCCTGGCATGCGTATTTTATTTGTTAACCTCATGTTTATTAGTCTCTACAATTTGAGGCTTTTGCCATGTCCATATGCTGTCTATGTGCTGTACCTTGAAAAGTTGGCATGAATGCGTATGAAGAAACTTGAAAATGTTGGAGCCACTCCATAAATCATGGATGAATTCAACCATCTAAGAGGTAGCTTGCCAAAAACGTCCTGTTCATTGAAAAGCACTAGTCAACTTGCGGACCAATTGATCATTGTGCTCAATACAAAGATGGAGAAGATTTTGTGTTTTACTTTTGTAGCTTTCGTTTTAACTTAAATATCATTGTTAACCAGAAAAGCACAGTTCATATGAAAAAGACAATGATATAACCGGTATGCCGAATGAATTCTCAGGTGAAGAAAATGAACTCCGCCTGTTCCCTTTTCCCTTGTTGAAGGAACTGATCAAAACCATCTTGTGAAGAAGACAGTGATGTTGGACAATGGAATTAATTTTTTAAGTCTACCTTCGGAGTAGAATTAGTTCCACACCTATAGATGTTCTCGTATGTCATACTGTAGTTATTACCTGTTTTAATTTATTTTGCGGTGAGGGCAAATTCAATTTTTGGTGTACCATGACATATAACTGAATGTAAGTGCTCACCACTGGATTTCTGGCCCTAATAAGATTCTGAATCCAGATATGATATATTAGTATAACAGTCAAATATAACAGCATAGTCTTTCTCCACCAAATGCTTTCTTGTAGATTATATAATCATTTTTACTTCAAGCTCCGTCTTCTATGCTTTGAGGAAAAAAGTAATGTGAGAATTCTGTTTCCCCATAGAAAATCCTTTTCTGGTACCCTTGGATAAATGATGGTACATTTGATTTTATCTTGAGAATGAGGCGTATATATGATCCCTTTTCTGGAGGAACTCTGCTTATCTTCTTGATGCTTTTGCCCCTTCATGCTAGGGTAGGGACAGAAGTCTCATTAGGGAGTCCTTTTATTTACTTAGTAGTGTTCGTTGCTTGAAGATAAAATATCCGCTGATCTCTTGTACTTCTTTTCTTAAAAATGTGAAGAAGTTTGCTTACAAACTTTCGTGGCATGTTCTTCACTGGTGTCCATTAGGGTTCCTCTGCTGGGTGAGCCTTCCTTAACACGCCCCTGTTGATTTGCATCTCCATGTTCAAATATCATGCTCAAAAAAAGGTTGGAGGCAAGGATCTAATTTAAATCTCTAAGTTTCTAATGCCATAGCTTACTCATATATGTCAGCANCTAACACGCCCCTGTTGATTTGCATCTCCATGTTCAAATATCATGCTCAAAAAAAGGTTGGAGGCAGGGATCTAATTTAAATCTCTAAGTTTCTAATGCCATAGCTTACTCATATATGTCAGCACACAGCTGTTGAGTTTGTGTTACATGTAGGGTTATGTGCATGAATGCACCTGATGTATCTGATGCGTGAGTAGGAGTCTTGACAACAGATAATTATCTCTTACGAGGCTGCATGCTTGCCTCTTTCTTCTTTTTAGGTTCTATGACAGGTTCCAAATATCTCCATTTGCCCAGGAATGGTTAAAGAATCTCAGGGATTGTTGCTCTGAATAAGAGAGGAGAAACTTTCTGACTCTGCTTAATATTTTGCGCTACATTTTTGTCAGTTACATTAGTACAAGACCTAGGTAGTAATTATACAGCGCCGAGATAAATNCGCGTGAGTAGGAGTCTTGACAACAGATAATTATCTCTTATGAGGCTGCATGCTTGCCTCTTTCCTCTTTTTAGGTTCTATGACAGGTTCCAAATATCTCCATTTGCCCAGGAATGGTTAAAGAATCTCAGGGATAGTTGCTCTGAATAAGAGAGGAGAAACTTTCTGACTCTGCTTAATATTTTGCGCTACATATTTGTCAGTTACATTAGTACAAGACCTAGGTAGTAATTATACAGCGCCGAGATAAATTTTCCTGTGCCATTGAATAGAACTGGTATAAACAGCCTAAGTCTGATCAATAAAACCAGTTAAAAAAAAAAGGTCTGATCAATAAAACCAGTTAAAAGGGGGTCGAATATATCCATAGTTAACTGGGTCAGAAATTACTGTAAATATTTAGAGAGAAGTTAAACCAAAATTTTCTATATGAATTCTAAGTGATATTCAATCCTGCTGCTGGCCTTACTTCTTGCCTCTTTTCTGGATTTTTGTGCAAACTAGTTTTTGAAGGTAACGGTATGAGTGTCCTTCATGCCACAGAATATTCTTGGGACTTTATATTATTAATAACTCATACCTGAAATAGAAAAAAAAAGCTTATTTTATCTGGTTCATCCAATTGTAATATCTGATTTCCATTTTGCCGGCATGACAGCTGTGCCCTTTGTATCCCCACAATCCGGAGGTTCTATTGAATGAGTTGAAATCCCCGTCTGAACTGCTGGACTTTGGAGAATTCTCAGATTGCTTGGATTTTGGGAGTGGCACTGGCTACCCACTTCTTCATGTTGTCAACCCAGCTTTTGATTATGTGCCACCAAAGCTTGTTAGTCTGTTCATTACTGACACGTAAGTTCATATTAATATTGTGTATCTGCATGGATAACTGAGTTCTGAAAATTTAGCTATGATGTTCTCCTTCAATTGGCTGAGTGTCAATATTTTGCTGACAACACCTTTGTTGCATCTCAAGTATGTGAAAATGAGAGACAACCCAAGTACTTGAAAGCAACAGCCTATCCCAAATCGATATAAAACAGAATTTTGTTGAAGTTTTCAGATTTCTAACAGTTTAATACACTTGTTACTGGATTTTAACTGATGTCATTTTTCTTTGCACAATGCAGTTTTAGCCGTCTTTTTGTAACTTGGATAAATGGCATTTTTTTTCACTAGCTGTAATTTTGTCTAGTTCCATAGAAATAGAATACTTATGTACCCATCTTTATGTTTCACATATTGGTTTGAATTTTCTTGAAATTTTTTGTAACTCTTTTTTTACTTTTTTCAGAGGTGGGCACAATGCATCATACATGTACCGTCTCATTGCAGATTACTACTCTGCTGATGATTTTGTGGTGCAAAGGAGACCTTCCTGACATTGAGTTAAACTACATTGGTTTTTGTTGCATATTGAGTAAGCCATTCTTATTATTTAATCAGTTTAGTAGTAGTCTATTACATTGAGACAAAGTGTGGTTGGATTTCTTGAGATTTTAGCACTAGAGAAAGTTCAATGGGATGTTTGGTAAGGGTTCAAAACTGGAGTATTAAGACATACATTGGTCAAAATAGCTTGGCATGACATTTCTTTTTCGTGCTTAACCCACTCCATTGCTTTTCTAATAGTCTGATTTTTGGTATCAGAATTGGGCTGCACTGCTTCATATTTAATTGGTATCAGAACATCTATGTCCTAGAATCCAATAAAAAACGCTTTGGAATTCACTTTTATGGTTTGTTTAGTATGATGGAGAAGTACAGGGATGGAAAAGTGGGAGAATGAAAAATGGGAGGGATGGATAAAATATCGTGTATTGTTAGAAAAGAAAAGTGGAGGAAAGAAAAAATAGTGAGATTATCCTTTTTTTTAAAAACAAATCCACAAAAAACTAACCTTCTCCCAAAATTGAGCAGAAAACTGCAAGGAAAGATAATCATGTGTGTTGAAATATAGNGGATTATCCTTTTTTTAAAAAACAAATCCACAAAAAACTAACCTCCCAAAATTGAGCAGAAAACTGCAAGGAAAGATAATCATGTGTGTTGAAATATAGTTTGTTTACCTTTATACTCCATAATATATATTTACATATATTATATGGGCAATTGGTTTGTTAGATGGTATGGAAAAATTAATTTTAGCTGATAATATGATAGTAAAAGGTGTTATTTTTCTTTCCTTCCACTTTTAAATCCATACCGAACATAAAAAAATGCATCCCATCTTCTATTTTCCATCCCGTCTACCAAACACAAAGGAGAGAAGAATTGTTTCTTTCCTCTTAGAGTAGAAAGTGTATTTCTCTTACTTTCTTTCATTCTACGTTTTCATCCATCCTAACAAATGAACGATTAGAAAAGGGTCCAGTCTGACTCCCCTTAGAGACTTTTGACATGAATGAAGGAAACATGAAGGGGTTTTACATGTGAAAAGTTCGAATCGGAGAAATCGTAACGTGGTTGAAAGAAGGCAAGTGAAAAGTAGTTATAGTAATTAGATCTATTGAATGCTTATGGGACTATGGGCTAGAAACATCTGAAGCTTGAAGCTTGACCCTTTGCCTGAGGTTTTTTGTACCGTTAAATGTTGGGTCCACAAAGAGTAACTCTAATTGCTATTCAAGTCCATATATGCTTCTGATGGACCAAAAATATGAAACAAAGGTATAATTATCTAGTAGATAGGTTCATTTCCTAGTTCAAGTGATAAAAAAGCTTAGCCTTACAATTAAAATATGTCAGTTCAGATTTGAGAGCAACTAGTTTGTGGCCAAAAGTTGGCCCTTACCCTGTTCATCCCTCCGTTACCCTGGAATCTTGGTTACCTGGGATTAAACTGGATAAGTTACCAACAAGTGAGTATAAAAATGTGTATTGTATCCAAGAAATTGGAGTCTCATCTGAAGCATCAGTTATGCAACTAGTCAACCAACTGGGTGTCATGTATCATGCACTAACCCAAGCTAAATAGATGATACAACATTGACTTCTTGCTAAGATGAAATAACGCAAAGCACAATTGCAGACTCAAGCCTTCAAATGATCACATGCAAACTCTTTAGTAGTTCATGCCTGAAGGGTAAGAAACACCATATACTTTTCAATAAGAAAAAGCACTATATACTTGGTGCTAGCAACATTGTAAAAACCCAATTTATTAATAGTGATGGAATCCACAATTGAGTTTGGCATAATGCCCAATTTGATATTCCAGGTGATTAATTGGGACTTAATAGTTTACAATATTAAACTGAGCTTGGTTTGCTTGGGGGTGTTTTGTGACATATAATTTTAGGACTTGCCTTGCCCATTATAATTTTGAAACCCTGAATGGTTGAGTTCTGCGATATGTATCTTGTAAAGATATAGGAATTTAAAATAATTTTCTTGTGAGTTACAGTGTTCAAGTTTGGATTTGGCTGCTTCTTCTCATAACTAGGAAGGAAGTACTTCATGTATATATAAAAGATCTTTAGGTTTAATCTTGGTGATGACCGTAATGTTTTCCGTATCTAGTTCTTGCGAAAACCGTGCTCCCATTTTGAAAAATGCATCTGAGCCCTCAAGTTTCTGAAGACCAATGAAAAACAAAATCCTTGGAGATCCCAATGCCTCCTTAGCTAAATAGAATTTGTTTACTTCTCAAATTAATTTGTTTGCATGCTTTATAATTTATTATAGGTTGTGATATTGTTGCAATTTTTAACAAGTGCCCTTATTTGCGATTGCCTATTTTTAGGTAGTTCAGCTAGCTACTATCTTCTAAGAAGCACTCGGGTGAAAAGGTAAATTTCATATTCAAGTGGAAGCGACTTAAAAAATATTGACCTTTGTGGAGGCTACGAGTGACTTCAAGTCTTCGGAGAAACTGCACTTGAGGTTCTGGTCAGGATGCGGGAGGAAAGAGAAGCCAATTGGGAAAAACATTTTTGTTATTGTACTTGTAATTGCAATAGATGCTTCTAATGCCACCATACTCAACAAATTGAAATGAAAGTTCATGTCTAACAATTGCACAAATCAATAACTCTTTAAACTTCACTGCATCAAATTTAAAAGACCTAGATCCCAAAGCACCATTGGATTGGATTATAAGTAGTTGACCAATATCATAGGTGGTTCGCTTCAAATAAGTTGCAGTGTGTCGCTTGAAATTTCCAGTGTCGTGCTTACTATCAACATTATAAACTTGTTTACATTTCTTACATTCGTATCTCAGCAGTCCTTTTAGACTTGGTTCTTTAAGAAAAATATAGTTTCTCCATACATTTGAGGTGAACTTTTGTTGACGTTTATTTGTTGGTTTATCAACACCATCCAGCTCTAGCCTATCTTGAATATCACAAGCATGATTTGTTTCAGCCATGGCAACATCATCAGCAACAGGGGAAGGTCCATCAATGTGTTCGTCATTCAATGGAAATGAATTCATCTGTTCCCAACACAAATGCTAAAAAAAAAAAAAAAATATGTAAGCAAAATATATAACACACATACAAAGCAATACATTTTTGGTCAAAATACAAAAAAAATTACACAAACTTCCAATACAACTTGTAACGTTAAGTAGAGAAAAATGAGTTAAGGGGAAATACTACACAACCAAGGGAATGTATGAGTTTTGTGTGTTGTAATCCGAATCTGACTATTCTACATTTCGATTGAGCCGCAACGCGTAGAGAGAGAGAGAGAGAGAGAACACAACGACACACAGAGATAGAGGGACAAACCTTTTCGATTGAGCAATGGTGAAGGCATGAACGACAAGGGCTTGAACAGTGAGCCCTCCTCTACTCCTCTAGACAAAGCAACAAGCGGTAGCTAAGAGTGAAAAGGGGAAAAATGGGAGTGGGTTAGGGTTAAGATTTTTTTTGTTGCTTTTATATATTTGGATAAATAGGTTAAATGGGTAAGAAATGGGTAGGTCAGGGTTCGGGTTGAATTATATTAACCTATTTAAAATATACGGGTTGATCAAGTCAAAATTGGGTTAACCTGATTTCGACATGAACCCAACCTGCTTTTTTTCGTGTTTATACGTGTTGACTCATTTTTATCCATTAACCCATTTAATTTCGTGTTCGACCCATTTATTTCGTGTTCAGTCCGTGTCATGTCGAAAATTAATAGCCTTACTTGTGATACACGTTGGGGTTCACATTATTATTCTTTGATCAGCTTGATTGATATGTTCTCATCAGTGATTAATGTGCTTGATATGGTTTTAGAAGATGATATAAATGCAGAACAAATAGGGGAGACAAATGTTCTTTTGNCAGTTCAGATTTGAGAGCAACTAGTTTGTGGCCAAAAGTTGGCCCTTACCCAGTTCATCCCTCCGTTACCCTGGAATCTTGGTTACCTGGGATTAAACTGGATAAGTTACCAACAAGTGAGTATAAAAATGTGTATTGTATCCAAGAAATTGGAGTCTCATCTGAAGCATCAGTTATGCAACTAGTCAACCAACTGGGTGTCATGTATCATGCACTAACCCAAGCTAAGTAGATGATACAACATTGACTTCTTGCTAAGATGAAATAACGCAAAGCACAATTGCAGACTCAAGCCTTCAAATGATCACATGCAAACTCTTTAGTAGTTCATGCCTGAAGGGTAAGAAACACCATATACTTTTCAATAAGAAAAAGCACTATATACTTGGTGCTAGCAACATTGTAAAAACCCAATTTATTAATAGTGATGGAATCCACAATTGAGTTTGGCATAATGCCCAATTTGATATTCCAGGTGATTAATTGGGACTTAATAGTTTACAATATTAAACTGAGCTTGGTTTGCTTGGGGGTGTTTTGTGACATATAATTTTAGGACTTGCCTTGCCCATTATAATTTTGAAACCCTGAATGGTTGAGTTCTGTGATATGTATCTTGTAAAGATATAGGAATTTAAAATAATTTTCTTGTGAGTTACAGTGTTCAAGTTTGGATTTGGCTGCTTCTTCTCATAACTAGGAAGGAAGTACTTCATGTATATATAAAAGATCTTTAGGTTTAATCTTGGTGATGACCGTAATGTTTTCCGTATCTAGTTCTTGTGAAAACCGTGCTCCCATTTTGAAAAATGCATCTGAGCCCTCAAGTTTCTGAAGACCAATGAAAAACAAAATCCTTGGAGATCCCAATGCCTCCTTAGCTAAATAGAATTTGTTTACTTCTCAAATTAATTTGTTTGCATGCTTTATAATTTATTATAGGTTGTGATATTGTTGCAATTTTTAACAAGTGCCCTTATTTGCGATTGCCTATTTTTAGGTAGTTCAGCTAGCTACTATCTTCTAAGAAGCACTCGGGTGAAAAGGTAAATTTCATATTCAAGTGGAAGCGACTTAAAAAATATTGACCTTTGTGGAGG